CCATCCTCCAGGACCCCAGTCATCCCAGTCACAGACTGGTTTCCCTCCTACCGGCCGGTAAACGGTACCGAAGCATCCGGTCCGAGTCCGACAGACGACAGAACAGCTCCTACCTCCAGGCAGTCAGACTGCTGAACAGCCAGCCTGGGGCTCCTTCAGCAGATCACCTGTAGTGACTACAGGGACACCCAGTTTTCACTGCATTCAGCATCACTGCACTACTTGGATATATTGCACACACCATGGTCACATAGCACATAGACACATAGCAGCTCTTCTTGTATTGAGTTTTATTCAATTTAAAAAAACGTAACCTCAATTTTGTGATTTTTGTGTTTTTTGTGATTCTTGTGAGCTTGCACAAAAAGACATTTCATTGCCAGCAACTACTGCTGCAGGCCGTATTGTTGTGCATTTGATCAATAAACTTTGATTTTATTTGATTTTGATTTGAATAGTATAGACTATTTACATACACCAAGAGTTCCCGAGTCCAGATCTTAAACTGGCCAAAACTCCACTCACTCTACTGCAGAGAGACAGAGTAGGTCTCTGTCTAATCTATCTGTATTTCTAGACAATAAGAGAGCTCTGACACCTCAGACTGCTCACTGTTTCAGTGAGCCACATAGTGCATCTAGAGACACCAGCACCACCTGGTGGGCAATGTGGGGAAACACATCCACGCTGTTAATGCATAGTTCAGGAAGCAAACCAGCACACGAGAGGGGGCATCACAGACACACACACACACACTCTCTCTCACACCCCGGTCAATCTTCCCAGAAGCCATTTCACCCACCAGCATGTCTGTGGACTGTGGCAGGAAACCGGAGTGTGACCGGGAGTCAAACTCAATCAGCTCTCCTCGATCTACCTGATGCAGCCTGTACTCGTGCTGCGAATCTGGGTCATGAAACACCCGCGAGGAGACAGTTGGGTGTTAAAACGTCCTGTTCAAATGCTGTCTCACAGAGGTGCCGCCATCACTGAAACATGATCGTCATCTTCCGGGCTATTGCTGAATCCACTGAATGACCTGATTTCCTCCACACCAACACGGGGGCAACATGCAAACTCCACGCAGACAGTATAAAAGGCACCGAACTCAGGGCCCCGGGGCTGCAAGGCCGTAACGCTGAGCACACTGCAGCTGTTACTGTCACTTCCAATGTGACCGCAGTTTATCCCCCTGCAGCTCCCAGCTGGCAGCCCCACTGGAGCCCAGCAGGTGTGAGCCTGGCCAGTGCCTGGAGGGGAGACTCCTGGGAAAAACTAAGGTTGCTGCTGGGAGAGGTGTTAGTGGGGCCAGCAGGGGGCGCTCTCACCCTGCGGTCTGTGTGGGTCCTGATGCCCCAGTATAGTGACGGGGGACACTGGACTGTAAACAAGCGCCGTCCTTCGGATGAGACGTCAAACCGAGGTCCTGACTCTCTGTGGTCATTAACAATCCCGGGGTGTCTCTGGAGAAGAGTAGGGGTGTTACCCCAGTGTCCTGGCCAAATTTCCCGTTGGCCCTTCCCAATCATGGCCTCCTAATCACCCCCCCCCCTCTCTGAAGAACTGGCTCCATCCCTCTGCTCTCCTCCCCACTGAGAGCTGCTGTGTGGGGAGCGTTCTGGCGCACTATGGCCCCAGGTGGGGCTGCACACTGGTGGTGGTAGTGGGATTCCCCATTACTTGTAAAGCACTTTGAGTGGAGTGTCCAGAAAAGTGCTATATAAGTGTAAGACATTGTTATTATTATTCAACAGTATGAAAATGACCGAAGAAACCCAGCCCCACAGTGATTAATTCTGTTATAAGTGATTCAGGCCCTGCGAGATCTCTGTATACACTCTGCAGAGTTCCTCTCTCGGTCTGTACGGCCTCTTTAGGGACCAGAGCTGTTTGATGACGTCTCGCTCTGTTCTTGTCCTGGAAGACACCACAGGAGAGGTCAGAGGTCATAGTTTCAACACCATGGCTGGAAAAGTTGCTCCACACCCCCACCACTTTTTGTCTATCTTACTGTAATAAACTGTCAGACGAATACCACACCAGATAACTTATATGTCATCACATCCCTCCAGTCAGTTGATCTCACACTCACCCTGGCCCGCAGTGTACTTGACATCAGAGCTCCTACAGGCAGGACTCTGGGCTCCTAGGATGTAAAAACACAGATCGGCGTCAGTGAGACAGCAGCGCTCTGCTCTGCTCTGAGCTGTGCTGTGTCTAAAGGGCTGTCAGGTGAATTTCCACCTGTGTTCATTCACAGAGAGCAGCTCTGATTCCCTGCAGACTGAGTGACTCCTGCAGAAGGTCATGACGTTTTCTCCTGCTGTACACACTGATCTCCACACCTCTCTCTCTCTCTCTCACCTCGTCCTTTCTTCCTCCAGAGGACACAGGCGGCGACGGGCAGCACCAGAACCACAATCAGAACCACGATCACCACCCCAACGATGAGCCCAGTGTCCAGGTCAGGTTCTGGTTCTGTCGACACAGCAGAGGGAAGAATGAGCCCGACTCCATGAGCTCTAGTTGGGAACATCTTAATATCTCTTTTCTTTTCTGTTTTAATATCCTGTGTTCTATCTTGAATTAACAAAGGTTTCAATTCATGCAGTTTTCCATCACAGTGTTCATTTAGACCCTGCTGAGCCAAACACAGTTTTTAAGTATCACTGCAGCCCTAAAACAACAACAGAGGATACTGATCCAGCTGGAACGAATCTCTCTTACACACACTTTGTCTCCTATTCCTGTTTCAGGAATTCCTGTTGGTCATTTCTAGTGAAGGTTAAGGCTCAATACAAGCCTAACAGATTCTCAGCTATTTTGAATTTCATGACCTGCGTTTGTCCACTGTTTCCCGCTTGAGAATGGTTTCAAAATACACAGATTTGTCTCTCAAGATATTATTCTGGCCCCTACATTAGCGCATTATTTCTTATGCGCCATAACTACCACCACGCTGTAAGCAGACAGTGAAGGGGTGTTAGGTTCATGCTGGAGTAAAGTTTTCTAAATAAACAAATCTCAGTCTCTCTCTCTCTCTCACCCCAGTCCACCTCCAGCCCGTTGTCCAGACCGCTGTGCTGGACCCTGCAGGTGTAGCGATGTCTCCCTCGGCGCTCCTCCTCCTCCTCGCTGAGCGCCAGGCTCTTCCTCAGCTGGTAGGTCCCGTCTCCGTTGGGCAGCACCTCCCCCCCTGTCAGCTCCTGCTCCGGGACGGGACGCCCGTCTCTCAGCAGGGTCAGCTCCAGGGCCCGGGGGTAGAAGCCGGTGGCCAGGCAGGTCACCTCCGTCCCCCCAGAGAAGGCGGATGTCTTCTGGAAGACCCGGACCCTGGGCTTGACTGCAGTGTGGGGGGTTAGAGAATTAATTTGTGTAGAAAGTCAATCTTTTATGCCAGAAAGCAACTACTGTAATACCTTGCTTGCAGGTATTTTGACTGTCTTTAGAAGGAAAAAGATTTTAACTGCACTTATTTTAGCTGTCATCCAACTCCTGCTCTGGCTACACTGTATCTGTTACCGGTTATATTTCAGAGTTCCTCTAAGATCTAGATGCTGAGCTGTAAAGCCCTGAGGTTTCTGTGTATGACAGGGTTTAGCCTGCAGAAACACTTTGCATGTCTTTCACATCGCTGACAGCCTGATTGCACTGACTGCTGGGTGTGACCACAGCCGTGTCCACAGCCAGAAAACAGGCAGTGAAAAACGGTGTTTGCACTATCTGGTCCACTTTGCTGTCTGCTTCTAGATCATCAATCGATCGATCAGAGGCTGACTGCGCTGGGACAGTAGACTGACGCTGGCTGAGGGCTACAGAGTGAATGTCAAGTCTGAATGTTTTAGGACGCCTGTAGAGGAGACAAACACAAAAACTCAAGAGGCTGACCTCTCCTCATCAGCCTGGTCCTCTCCTGCTGCAGGTAGCTCTTCAGGACCCTCACACACAGGGGCTGGTAGAATGTATCTGCCCTTATTTTATTGACCTGAAAGAGCGCCTTGTCAATGACTACTTGTGGGATGAGAAGACTCCAGCTGTAGCTCTGCGTGTTGTAGACCAGGGCGTCCCGGCCATCGTAGGCGTCCCAGCGACCGAACCGGGCCGAACCGTCATCGTCCAGCTCGCAGCCAGCGATCCTCTGGTAGGTCCGGTGTCCTGCAACACCCAGATTGCCTGATTGATCCATCAAAGCCCTAACTGACCCAACAAGCTTCTTGACTGCAAGATCTGCACATTTACTTTCTACTTTAAGTTCGGGATTGGGTCTGGCTGATGAACTACAGTAGTTAAAACACATTTAAGGGCTGAAGACAGCTGCACAGCTCAGATTGGTCCTGTAGTTCAGTCAGTTAAGGGTCTGACTGAATAACTGGCAGCCCAGTATGTGATCTCCTGTCACAGCCTGAGTAACAGTGAGTCTGTCTCCCAATAATGCTCCAGCCGCCTACAGTACATGTCAATATTATATAATATGTCTTTGTTGTAAATGTCTGTAATATGTCTGTAGATTTTATTTTACTTCTATTTTTGGTTTTGTTTAATGTAAATATCATTACTTTCATTTGCTTTGGCAACACTGATTGTACCCATCGGTCATGCTAATAAAGCACCTCGAATTGAAGTGAATTGAAACTGAGAGCTGGGCTGGAACAAACACCAGGACTGTGAGATCCAGGGTCAGGACTCAGCCTCTGAGTAGCCAGTCCAGTCCAGTCCAGCCCTCAGATCAGCTACAGGTCCTGGGTTTCAGTCAGAGCCGGACAATGTCCCAACACCACCTCGGAGATTCTGCTTGGGTTCAATTTTGTCACAGCAGAATCTGCCCTTTTATCATCAGAGCAGAAGTAAGCAGAAATATCAGATGAGCTCTCACCTCTCACCTACGATCTGAACCTCACAGTGCCTTCTTTCTGACCAAAAACTCAAACACGCATTGAAATCCACCTCTACCTCACATGTCAAAAAGCTCAGTCCCCATCATTTCTATCCTTTATCTCATTCTGTTGATGCCTGTTTTTGCCCATTTTATGTTGTTTTGCACTCTGCCTGTTGTCGTTTTTGCACACTGCCTGTTGTCGTGTTGCACTGCCTGTTGTCGTGTTGCACTCTGCCTGTTGTCTCTGTCTTTCTTTTCTGCTACAATTGTATCGTTGTTGTTTTGTACTACTTATCGTCTGAGAGCTCGCTAAATAGCAATATATACCATCTACCTGTATGTGAGTATAATGACAATGAACTTGAACTTGAGCCCCAGGTGCTCTTCCTGATCCTGTGTGGAGGGAGGGAGGGAGATTTCAGTCTCGTGGGGGTAATACACTCACCTCCTGTGTGGTTCAGGTGAGACATCAGGAGCTGCAGCTTGTTTCTCATGCTGTTGTGGTAATGCTTCGCTGCAGTAACCTTGCTGTCTGCTTCCTCGACCTCAGCGTCCGGGCGCCAGTGTCGACGAGAGATCACCTTCCCGACGTCGCTGTCGTAGTATTCCACCTGGACATCGTCCACCATCCCTACAACCACGAACTCCGGGAACTGGCTCGGTCCGGTTGTGAGGGTCATGAAGTACCACAGGGAGTGAGAGTCTGGGGACACAAGGACAGGAGAATGAGCTGGACAGTGTCCACCCTCCCCCTGACCACTAACTCTGGGCCTGTCCTGTCTGTAGAGTCCAGAGGCCCCAGAGGCAGTGAGAGTCTGGGGACAGGACAAGGACAGGAGAGTGAGCTGGACAGTGTCCACCCTCCCCCTGACCGCTAACTCTGGGCCTGTCCTGTCTGTAGAGTCCAGAGGCCCCACAGGCAGTGAGAGTCTGGGGACAGGACAAGGACAGGAGAGTGAGCTGGACAGTGTCCACCCTCCCCCTGTGGAGAGTGACTTGTGACAGGCCAAGACCGTTCATCTCAGATCTGCCATCACGTGAAGTCTTCCATCGTCTCATATCACAGGCCTTACACAGGGTATTTTAATCCAGTCGCTGTTGATTGGGGGGAGACATTATAATATGACCCGTCTTCCTTACTAGTTTAAACACCGGATGAATTTCGCCTCCAATACTCGGAGCCCAACACTGCCTGCTGTGAGAGATCTGAACGATCACAAGGAGAGATGCCCCTCCGTATCTGCTGAATTGATTGTAAACATCCCGGAGCCTCTTTTAACCGGAGCAGAAATCTGGCTATATCGCAAAAAAAAAAACAAAACAGGGCACAAAGCGGCGCTTGTATCTCCTGCGAGGGGGATATGCAGGTGAAACCTGATGATTGATCATCATCGATTCATCATTTTAGGAGTGGACTATTTGTTTGTTTTTTTTTTAAATCAAGCGCGGACTCGCGTAAAAGAAACCAGGACATGTCGGAACGTGGCCATTGGGTTTTTGTAATATTGCCCGAGGAGTGTTTTTTTGCGGCAGACTGGCGCTTGAACAGGCTTCTGTTTGCAAACCCCTCGTACGTCGTCCACCCCCACTTAACAAAACGGCCGAAAGGGGGCCGTGACGCGTTGGTTTCACGGACACGGTGAGATCTCCCGGCGCGACTTTAACATTTTAATATCGCCGGGAAGCGCGCTCAGGGTCTCTGGCTCCACCGCGCACAGGAGACGGGCGCCGGAGGTCAAACAGAAAGCGAAAGAGAGACTTCGAAACTCGTTTCTTTATTAATAAAACCCTCACCCGCCCAGGCCAGCTCGCCGCAGCAGAGAAGAAACAGCGCGGAGGGCTTCATGACTCCGGGGTGAAGGAGGAGGAGGAGGAGAGCTCAGCCGGACTCAGGGCGGACCGTCTGTGAGGACGCTCAGAGTCTGGGGTCACTGGTGACGGTACTACAAATGTCACCGCATTCTTGTTTTTTTTTTACAGCTGCATTTTTAACAGTGCCAGCCAATAGCAGCCGGCGCGTCAGTCGTTCACCAGGAAGGTTAACACTTAAAAAAACAATTATTCAACGTATAAAGAATGTTCCCATACAACTACAACCAGAGGATGGAAAACAGGTACAAGAGAAAAAAAAAAAACCACAAACAGAAAAAGAAAACAAGCATTTAACCGCCAGAGGTCACGAAGTAAATGATGTGATTTACTTGTATTGGTTGCATCTCTTCGAATGTCTTCCTCGCTTTGTTATTTCTCAAAGTTTTTAGAGCATTTCAAGAGTGTTTCAGCTCCACCTCAGAAGTACCGAAAGGGGGAGGATTACTAGACCCTTGTGATTTATGGGTGTGAAATTCACCCAGAATGACTAATACATTGACTAGAAATAACTGCTCTTTTTTCCCCACTTTTCTGTGAAACGGTACGATAAAATAACAGAATATTTTCTGTTTAACACTTGTTTAACACTGTTAAACAACGTGTTTAACACTTGTCGTCATCCACACACACACACAAAAAGAGATGTTATGTGAGGTTTCAGCCCCCGTCGCAAACAATATTAAAATACCGTTCGTAATAATTGGTTAATGATTATAACGGCGCGTTATTGATATACATCAAGACGAGGTGGCCCGGGAAGACCCCTGTGTCGGAGCAGTTTAAAACATGGGTGCAGAGGCGTATCTGCAGACGATTTCGGTCTGCGGAAATATGAAAGCGGACGTTATTTCAGAAGTTGAATTGATTTCGTCACGTGTAACCCCTGACGATGTGGGCGCGCTATGATGACCAGGCTGGATAGGAGTCTTTCCGGTCCGGTCATCAAACTCATCAATGAATTTCCAAAGGGGGGGAGGTTTCCACAAAAACAGGGACATTTATCAGTGAAGTTTTGGAGTGTCGTGCCTGAACCCCCATACTGTATGGCACGGATTCAAACGTGCTCGGAGATCCAGCCTTGTGCTGTAGTTAGCACCCCCTTTCTTTGATATTACGACCTATTACTTCACCGATAAAACCTAGAGGTTAGCTCCCCAAAAAGCAATTAAGCCTAATAAATGCCGAACCGGGCGACCTGGTGAGTTGAGCCGGCGGGTGCTCCCGACCTGTAAATACCTCTTCCGAGCTTTTGTCTCATTTTGTAATAATAATAATAATTCCTAACACTCTCTCTATAGTGCCTTGCCGGACCCTCCCCTCAGAGCTCTTCCCAGGTCAGGGGGATCCCCTCCAGCCCCCCCAGTGTGCAGCCCCCACCTGGATGATGCTCCAGTCCGCTCAGCACACAGCAGCTCTCAGTGGGGAGGAGAGCAGAGGGATGGAGCCAGTTCAGAGAGGGGGGTGATTAGGAGGCCATGATGGGTCAAGACC